GGGGGGGGGGGGGGGGGGGGGGGAGGTAATCTCGACTCGAGGAATAAGCGCAACACCGGAATAGTATTTTTACGACGATCCTGATAATCATCTTCTATACATTGGAAAAACAACGGTTTTGCTGAATTCTTACATAGAAATCTAATACTGGCCAATTTAATGTTAGGTCTGTCTTTTATTACCGCACTCGAATTTCCTCTCTCGCTTTCGTCAAATATTAAATATAATATATACGTATTTCACTTTTTTAAGTTCTAAAAGTTTACACTAATTCAGTTGTAGAAAAAACAGACTGCTGAGAAAGACGGTAATTAATCACTTATATTTTACGTATTAAAAAGCACTATAGTTCAGTACTTTTAGTCGTTTAGTAAGAGAAGCAATTAATTATTGCTTCTTTCAGTAACAAATTCGCTAGTATTAGATTTCTGTAAGAGAAGTATCTAAAAATTTAGATGCAAATCAGAAAATTATTTAGTCTATCGAAATAACTACATAAGAGTTGATTTAAAAAAAAAGTCCAAGTTTCTGCAGTACCGCTCATAATCATTTTGATAGTTTAACAAAATTATTTTCAAATTTGTGTGTCTCCAATTTTTAAATATTTAAATACTTTTTACGAAATTTTTAAATACTTCAGCAAAATCGTTCTTTCTGTGCGCGAAATCATTTGAATAATTATGTCGTTTAATAGTTATTACGAAACGATTAAGAAGTCACGCCCAGCTAATATCATTGGAGAAAATATCGCGATGCCTCATTTATCCTATATAATGCTGAGGTATATATTCTCATAATATTCGTTCCCAGACAACACACGATATCCTGCGAACATCCTACGAACGTCCTTAAAACGTTTTTCTAGGACGTTCATAGGATTTTTTAGGAGGTTCCTTGAAGGTCTGTGCTGTACGATGGTAATATTTCCCAACGGTAATTACCCCGATCGACCCCATGCTCTTCGTTGAACTAATTCAGCTCTCAGAGAGACAGACAGACAGACAGACAGACAGACGGACAGACAGACGGACAGGCAGGCAGACAGGCAGACAGACAGGCAGACAGATAAAGAGACGTGATCGACCAACGGAGGGGAAACAACATTCGTTCCCTCAACATCGCATCGCCTGCGAGCAAGTCGTATTGACGGTCCAGCGGATGCTGCGCCGCGTGGCGTGAGTCGCACTTGACCGCGTCGTCGTCGTCGTCGTCGTCGTGACGAAACGGCGTCTTTCCAACGGCGTCCTTTCCCCGTCCCGTATCTCTTCTCACCGCCTCTCACTGCTCGTTGTACATCACGCCGCTCGCCGACGTCTCGAAGCCCTCGGTCGCGGTCCAGCCGAGGCTGGTCGCGCGGCGCAGACTGTGCCGCAGGAACGCCGCGCACGCCTTGCTGCTCTCGGTGATGATCTCGTAGAGCTGCGTCTCCAGGCTGAGGCTGCTGGTGGTGAGCAGCAGCGGGAGCGGTATCGGCGCGTTCATGATCACTAGGTTACCGATATTAAGAGGAGCTGTTTCCCGTTGTCAGACACCGCTGTTCGGAAAGCGTGGCGGGGGAAGCGGGGGCGGTGGTCTCTCCGGCTGAGCGGGAGCGACGGAAGAGCGCTCGGATCCAGCTGCAAACACAACTGTGGGGTGCACGTTAGTCTCACGATACGCGACTTCCTCATCTCGACGCGCGCGATACCGCCGCGTCGCGTACGTAATATACGTTTATCTCGCCGACTACTCTTCCGGACACATCGCTAAGAGGTACGATAGATACGTGTATGTATCTCTATAGGAGGCGAGCAAGCAAGCTTCTCTACTGCTCTCGGCGGCTGCGCTCGGTTTTTTCCTCGGTCGAATTCATTTTCGCACGTGACAGATTGCGATACAAGAAGCTTTCTTTGTTCTCTCGATCAACGTGGACGGGTCGTCAACGGAGGAAATTTATTTCACCTTCGTGTTTTAGTAGTTATTCTCGAAAACAACGCAATCTTGTATAATGAGCTCCTTCTTTATAGCCGCTACTCTTAGTGTCAGAGCTAATCCCATGCAATTTATAAGCGCACTTGAAAACTGGCCAAAAAGAAGGTTAGTAGCGTTAAAAATTACTCTCTTTCCAAAATACGATCAATATTTACGAGATAAATAGCGTATTTTCCGTATTGCTTATAAAATATTTTTTTGCTCATCGATTACGAATATTCTTTAATGGAGTTCTCAACTGATTAAAAAAAAAAAAAGAATGATAGGATTGTCACACAGAGAAACGATTTTGCTAAAATATCTAAATTTCGGTAAATATAGATCTGAAAATAATTTTGTAGGACCGTCAAAATAATTATCCAGAATACTCAAGCAAAACTGCAAAACGTTTTGACATTCTAGCAATTAATTTGAGTGTTCTACATAATTATTTTGATATAGTATTATAGTCCGACACAATTATTTTTAGAGCTGTATCTAAATATAAATTTTTAGAAAAATCGTTCCGTATGTAAAATAATATTATCGCTGTCTATATTACGCTTGGAAATCCACGCGATTTGAGAATAGTGTTAACTTGAGATTGTTAAGTATTTATATTTTAATTTGAGAAAATACTCATTACATTAATAAGAATATATTCGTGTCCCTCGGACTATCCTAGTTATAATTGTTAATTCACCCGTGATTCGACTTAAGCGACTTGAGGGTTTTCAAAGCCAAACGTCCGGAATTGTCACGAGAGATGAAATTACCTTTTGCTCCTACGCACTAGAGATTACATTCATGCGCGCATGCCTTTTACACCATTCATGCTGCGAAAATTGATTGTACAGCACCGTACTAAAATTAACAACAACGTCAAATATATGTATGTACATTGGCCTAAGAAGTTATTACATAACGAAACGAATCCCCGCTCCGGGATTCAGAGATGCTACACATCAGTATAATATGTGTCAGTGAGGAATATACATATATTCACATTGGCCTGCCTTCCTTTAAACTACTACAAAGGCCAGTGTCGATAGCGCATAATATACGATAATATAATATTCGTAGAAACGAAGCAGTACGTGAGTGTCTATCACTTTCTCGTTTCGTGTAATTACGTAGCGTTAATTAAGTCCAAAGTGTAGATACGACACAGGATGGAAAATTGTTGTGTTGCACAGAGACAACGATAAATAGATGTGTGTGAAATATATATATATATATAGATGTGTGCGTGTGCGCGCGCGCGCGCGCGCGCGCGCGTGTGTGTGTGTGG